GCGCTTCTCGTTGCGTCACACCTCAACCCGCCTCAAAGCCAACGCTGATTGGACGTTCGTTTGGTGAACGGCTCCAAACTTTCTTTAACGGAGAGTCTCCAGACTGATCTGCGAGGGAAACCTTGAAAGCTCGCGAGATCAGGATGGTCTCATGAGGCTACTGTTGAAGAGCTCTGCATTAGAGGAAGATTGAATCATTATTCTAAAAATGATTTTCTTCATTTGATATTTGATGTTTAAATATATTCAAAATCAGATCCTATATTGATGTTAATGTTCCTTCTCATTATGTTTAAAGACACATTTGAGTCATTTCGCTTCAGAAATAAGCTTCTTTAAATATTAATGTGTCAGAGGTTCTGCTTCTGTGTTTTTACTGCTGAAAACTAGAAAAAAAATGAAACTTTGATAGTATTTCTTTTTATTATAATAAAATTATAATAAAGTTTGTAGCATGTGAGATGTTAACTGCATAAAAACATTCTAGGAGCAAATTGAATGGTACCGACCTGATACCCAGAAATTAAAGGTTCTGCCTCCTTATTGCAGAGTTGGAGAAACAGAACCAGATCGTAAGGAAGTCAGATAATAAAGATTAATAATCCTTATAGTGTGATAAAAGTGCTCAATTATTCACTGCAGTTACATAAATGGAGATTGATGGATTTCACTCAGTTGGCACTTTATTTCATCTTTGCAAAGGGAGAACAGTTTAACATTTATATTAATCAGATTAAATTAACCTTTCATGATCAATATAATTTAATCCAGCTAATAGAATCGATCTAATCAATCAGATCTGATGGTTGACCTTCAAACTGATCATCTCCTGATCTCAAACTTCAGTCCAGCTTCAGCCGCTGTCTGCCTGGATACCGGTGACGTCACAGCCTCTGATTGGCTGCTGCCTGCTTCTGCTTCCAGCAGCAGCTGAACTTTCCTCTCAGTTGATCTCAGAGTTTAACAGAGAGAAGATGATGAAGCTGCTCCTCTTCCTCTGCTCCGTCCTCTGGGTCTCTGCTGATGGTGAGTTCTACTGGTTCTGGTTCTGGTTCAGTGTGACCCAGTGGACCTCAGTGGTTCCTCACCAGTTCCTCTCTTCCAGTTCTCCATGAGGACCTCGTTATCAGAGGATGTTCAGACTCTGATGGAGAGGAGATGTACACTCTGGATGGAGAAGAGATGTGGGTCGCTGACTTTAAGAAGGAGAAAGGAGAAGAACCTCAGCCTCCTTTCATTGATCATATGAGCTACCAGGAAGGAACTTATGAAACAGCTGTGAATGATCTAAATGTCTGCAAATTCAACCTGAACGCTACCCGTAAAGCGATGAAGGACTTTCCTCTGAAACTAGGTAAACACAGAAACTCTGACTTCCTGTTTCTCTCTGCTTTAAATCTCTAAAAAAAAAAAAATAGACTTTATTTCTCTGAATTAGGAACTAAGTTTGGTTAAAAAAATGGATTAACTCGAAGCTTAAAATATATTTAATAACTGATAAACATGTTTAAATCTTCCTAAACATTAAAAACTCTATATATATTTAAGTTAGGATGTTTAAAAGTCAAAATGTTTAACAGAAATAAAACATTTTCTAATGGAAATGTTAAAGCTCCTATTTGTGCTGCATGAAGGAACTTCCTGATATTCAGCTTTAAACTTAAGCAGAACCGGTTCTGATCCATTTAGCTTTAAAATCTGTTCATCTCACAGACTGACTTTACAAATAGACTCTGTTTGATGTTGATATTGTTTATCATTTTTTTCAGCTGCCTAATTTCATTTATATGTGATTTTCCTAACGCTGACCAAGAAAATAAAGGATGAAATTAGAGAAAAGAAACATTTTTTTTTATTTAAGGAGTTTGCAGTAGAAATAATATAATAATAGACAACAGTTTATATTTACATGTTGTTGATAGAACATTTATAAAGATTAAAGAATAAGAAGCACACAATAAGTTAAAGTAATGTTACATATAGATAGAAGGTAAGGTGAGATGTTTAGAAGATGGTGACCCTAAGCTTTCTCCTGGATCTTCTCTCACTGATCATGGATTTAATGTATGGTTGTTAAGGTTTATGTTTATCTTTCTATGAACCACCATCACCTCACAGGAGCAGCTTCATGGATGACTTTAGCAGAACAGTGAGGATTACTGAGGACATCAGTCTCTTTCTGTGGGGATGGAGGTTTATATGTTCTAGAGGTCTTCTTCAACCAGAGGTCATCAGGGGTCTCTGAGGTCATCTTTTAGCTGCTGATGTTCTGAATCCTCAGAATAAACCTGCTTTATGTTCTTATGATTGCAGCAGAGCTTCAGAGGAACCCAGAATGTTCCTGTTCTGGTGATGTTCTAACCTCTCTCCTCAGATCGTCCATCTACTGTGATGGTCTACTCCAGAGACAGAATAGAGCTGGGAGAGAAGAACATCCTGACCTGTGTTGTCTCTGGGTTCTATCCTGCTCCTGTTAAAGTCTCCTGGACCAAGAACGGTCAGAAGGTGACTGATGGAACCAGCATCAACGTTCCCTATCCCAGTAAGGACAGCACCTTCACCCAGATCTCCAGACTGGTCTTCATCCCTCAGCTGGGAGACGTCTACAGCTGCTCAGTGGAGCATCCTGCTCTACAGGAACCAGTGACTAAGATGTTTGGTAAGGAACCTTCTCAGAGGAACCAGAACCTGGTCTCAGATGATTGACATCAGACTTGAGTCCCAAACCAGCCCCTAAACACTAACCTTTCGTTCCTATGGAGGGTCCCCACATTAAGGGCCGTCCCAACCATATAGTGGGCGGGGCCACTGGACCGTTCAGCCCTTAAACTGAGAGTCTTCATCAGTGCAGGATCACTGGGATTCAGCAGTAAACAGACAGCAGTAAACTGTGAACTGAAGGTTTGTTGCTTCATCATCACTGACAGAAAATCACAAGTTAGGAAAAATAAAGAAGACGTCATTAACTGCTAAATGGAAGGTCCTCTTTGAAGTGTTTTATTTGACTGGATAGATTTAATTCAGAGAAAGGGTTAAATCTTTGATGTTAGCCTGCATCCCACAGCTACAGCCACGCATATGGGGCATCACTGTGTTGCCATAGAAACAACTGCTTTCCCTTTCAGTTGTAGGGAAGAAGCCGTCCCATTCTCTCTCTACCCTCCACCCTTAATCAATCTGCCTACAGCTGAGAGTGAGACTGATAGTGAAGAGTGCTTAGGGGGCGGTTTGGGATTGGACCTTCATGTCTCTGTCTCTGTCTCCAGATGTGGACGTCCACAGTCCTCAGCCCAGTGTGGGACCTGCTGTGTTCTGTGGAGTCGGTCTGACCATCGGACTCATCGGCGTCGCCGTGGGAACCTTCTTCCTGATCAAAGGGAACGAGTGCAGCTGATTGGCTGCAGCTGATGACGTCATCAATAAACCAGCTGTTAATCATTAAATCAGAGCCTCTCTAATAAAACTATCAATGTTTATATCAGTTAATCTGTTTCTGTGTGGCTCCAACTGAAACCTTCAGAACTTTAATGAATCACCTGTCGTCTCCATCAGGTCCCTCTGACAGGAAGCAGAACCTCTCAATAAATCTTCTTTCTAAAAGGAGCTTTTTGTTTTTTTCATTCCTTCAATGTTTCTTAATTTGATCAATAATAAAGCTCTGTTTTTATCTGAAACTTAATCTTTGGTTTTATGTTCTGACCAAACCAGATAATGTTAACAGAGCCTCATACTGTAAATATATAACAGTTACTCTATATGTCATTCTGGAATCAATAAGCAAGAGTTTTGGGGATTTATGCACCTGAAGAACAGAGGGTGGAGACTTACAAAAAATGACTCATGACTTTAAAAACATTTATTTTACCAAAGAAAAACTTATTCTTTTGATTGTTTCCAAGATCAATAAATTAAACGTAATTCTAGTTCTTCCCTGAGCCCTTATTGTTTCTCCAGTTTCTCTTTTATCCTGATGTCTCATCTGGGATAGGCTCCTCCATCACTATGACCATCCACATGGCCGGTCATTTATTGTCATTTTTTTTCATTCATCTCAATTCATAGACCTTTAAGCATCACAGTTTTTCTCCAGAGATGTTTGGTTCCTGTAGTTCTCTGCTGCACATTTATGATACAGAAGGCATTCTGTCAGGGACTGAGAATTTAAATGTTATAAAGCACAGGAGCCTGATCTGGACAATTCATGTCAGTTTGTTGTTAGAGTCTTAATGTCAATGAGTCGATGCAATCAGCTGGTTTTCCTTAGACAGAAAACTTTGTATCAATCTGACTGGATGATCTGGTTGAACTGTAAAGTGCCTTGAGATGACATGATGTGAATTTGGCGCTATATAAATAAACTGAATTGAATTGAATGTGGTGGATACAGCTGATGTGTTTTATCTTTAATCAGCTAGAAATAACCTGCCTTTTATAAATGTATCATATATTTTCACCCAGACAGTAGATCAGAATCACTCAACTGTGGATGTGCCTTTTCTCATTCTGGGCCAAATAGACCCATAAGATAAAAAAAACAAACAAAGAAAACTCCACAGACCTGCAGGCATCAGAGTTCATCTGAGTTCATGGAGTCAGTTAAAGGGGAACGCCGTGTTTTTCCATTGGTCCTTGATTTTCCGTTATTCCATCATGTTCTACTCTCCCATCTGAGTTTAGTGTCATCTGGAGCCGTTCTGAAGATATTCCGTTAGGTTATATCCAGTAACGTCTTCCTATGGGCAAGTATCCTATGGGTCCTTCCTATGGGTGAGTAGAACATGAATTTAATAATGTAAAATCAAGGGCTGAATGTAAAAAAAAAAAGTTACCCTTTAAACTCCTTTGGTAAATCAAGGACATTATGTTAAATTTTTCCATGTTGGATATCATATTACATCATCAGTGTCAGCCATTACAGTGATAACATTGATGATTTCATTAATGATGTCTCTATCTACCTTGAAGCTCTAATTAATCTGTATTTGCCTTGTATAATAAATGCCAGACATATAATTTAATTTACTCTTCTTTATCCTGGTTTTTATACAACCAATGAAAACTCTGTGTAACTAGTATCTCTCCTGATTGGTTCTTAAAGCTTTTAGTCTGGTGACTTCAGTATTAGTCCAACTAACAGTGAGAACAATCCCAACAAAACTATGGGGAAAAAACAACACAGCAGAAACTGTTATATTATCCTAGATTCCCCAGATAATAATGTTTTCTTTAAGATTAAACTAACAAAACTATTTTAATNCCTGCTAACTGATTGGTTATTGGGTCTGCTGGGTTTCGGTAGCTGAATAACTTTCCTCTCAGTTGATCTGAGAGTTTAACAGAGAGAGGATGATGATGATGAAGCTGCTCCTCTTCCTCTGCTCCGTCCTCTGGGTCTCTGCTGATGGTGAGTTCTACTGGTTCTGGTTCTGGTTCAGTGTGACCCAGTGGACCTCAGTGGTTCCATACCAGTTCTTCTCTCTTCCAGTTCTCCATGAGGAGCTCTATATCCTTGGCTGTTCAGACTCTGATGGAGAGTTCATGCTCTCTCTGGATGGAGAAGAGAAGTGGTTCGCTGACTTTAAGAAGGAGAAAGGAGAAGAACCTCAGCCTCCTTTCATTGATCATATCAGCTACCCGGAAGGATTTTATGAACAAGCTGTGAATGATCAACAGGTCTGCAGATTCAACATGAACCTCGGTCGTAAAGCTCTGAAGGGCATCCCTCTGGAGAAAGGTAAAAACAGAGACTATGAATTTCTGTTTCTCTACTTTAAATCTGTAAAGATCAGATTTTTTTCCTAGAAAATTTTAATCCAAGTTTAGATTAAAAACATTTTTACTTATGATCAGCCTATTGAATAATTATTGATTTAATAAAATACTTAAAAGCATTTCTACTCAACATTAACAATGATATTTATTAAGAGTGTTGCTAAAATTTAGATCTTTTGACTAGAAGTACTAAAATAATAACTAGTTATCAAGTTATTCTGCCAGTTAAAATGTTTTATGTCAATATTTTAAAGTGTTATAGAGAAATAATACATTTTGTAATGGAAATGCTAAGCTTCTATTTCTGCTGCCTGGAGGAAGTTCCTGATATTCAGCTTTAAGCTTTAGCAGAACCGGTTCTGATCCAAAAGGAGAACTGGGTTCAACAGAATCACAAACTGGTTCTGATCCATTTAGCTTTAAAATTGTCTGTGTCATGATTGGTTCTCAAGGAGGACCCCAATTATGCAGAACACCACTGAGGCGGAAACAGGAGTAAAGGGTAAACAGAGTTTATTAAGCACAACACAGAGAAAGCACTGATGACTGGTTTGGGCCTGGGTTCTGGTTTCACCGGAGTCTGCGTGAGAGACAGAGCAGTTATGGACTGCTGACAGGATTTGATTTCCTAGTGAGCTCTGATTGTCCCTTGAGGGTACTTGAGGTTCTCTTTGGGAGAGTCACTGTTGGTTCTGGAGACGAGTT